AAGTGACACCGAGGGGCGCTAATAAGTGGATTTTTGCAAATGTAATCATTCTTATTTTAAATAGTTCCAGTGTACCAAAATTGATGAAATTTTGGGTTTGGATTCCATTTCTAATGCAGATTACGAATATGCATTTACCTCAATACCCTTAAAGAACCCAATTTTTCGGGTTGGAAAATTTCTCGACTCCCTGGCCATAGAGTATGATTGTACTTGCCACACAATTATACTAATGCAAAAATGGTGGCAGGCATCGAAAGCTCTCAATTAATAACTGTGGAAGTGTATCTAGAACACTATGTTGAGAGCACGCAATAAGCTAATATGCCATAAGCAATAAGCTTAAAAAATGCGAAGAAGAAGAAAGAAAGAAGAAGAAGAAGAAGTGTTTATCGGCAACCTCTGAACCAAATTGGACGCAACATTCGCCAAACGAAAGATACCATGGTCCCATAGAACGCTATTACATATTTTTCGGTCAACTGGTTCCGGAGATATGGCCGGAAAGGTAGTGTTAACTCACCTGTCCAGAGAAGCAGGCCACTGTCGATGTGTGTCACGCGATCGTCTGTTTACTCGGCAGCAACTATTGCGTGGTCCTCCTCATTGTTCTTCATCAACAGTTCTTTCTGTCGATGCGTCGTTGACTTTGTAAAGCAACCGTTTCGTGATGAGTGTGTGAGTGATGACCACGTTTTCCGTCCATTGCTACAATGGAAGCGTTCTGCTCCCCGTTGGCGATACTGCCATACAATGGAACCACTGGAAGTGGCTCTCAGAACAAAAGAAGGATAACTCAGAATGGAGGAGGCTTATTGGATAGTGGAAGATAAAGTGACATTTTGAAATTGCAGCGTTGCGTTGGATAAATGTCCTTTAACTGAAAACTTGTTTCAATTAGTGGACTTTTAGTTAGCGGCGCCGGTGGTGTAGCGGTAAGCGTGATTGCCTCTCACCTCAAAAGGCCTGGGTTCAATCCCAGTCCGCGCCGTAGGGATTTTCTGAGGCATAAAATATCTGATCACACCTTCCTTCGGAAGGGAAGTAAAGCCGTTGGTACCCGTTTCATGAGTTGATGGGCCGATAGTTTTGGTCCAGGTGTGGGAGCTGCCTCCCTGGCGTCGGTAGCATTGGTACTCAGTACGGAAAACTAATAAAAATGGTGGACTTTTAGTTGATCCGAAAACGAACTTTTTGTCAGTGCGAACCTCAACCTGAGGTAGGTTTTAAAAAACAAACGGTCAAACTGACCAATCAATCATCAACGTGCATCAATTACCATCCATTGAGGGTAATCTAATGCCAGGGAGGCGGTATCCACACCTGGTAGATATCGCATCCATCAACACATGGAACCGGGATCAACGGCTTGATTTCCCTTCCGAAGGATGACGTGACCAGAGATTTTTTGCCGCAGAAAAATCCCCAATTTTAATTTTAACAGTTTTTTTCAAGGGGTTGTTCATAAACTAGTTAGACAGCTTAGAGGGGATGAGATAGTGATTGTTTACGGTACATACACATTTTTGACAATTTGTTTGGACGATTGTTGACGCAGGGGGTTTGTTTTTGGGATGAAAGAAACGTATGTAAGTGTCTTTAATAAAGACGTTTGAAAATGTATTTGCAATATGGGAGATGAACCAGCCTGCGGCTGAAAATCTCGATAATAAAGAAATAAAAAAAAAAAAAAATATTTGCAATATAAGTACCACTTGATGTTTCAAGGCACAGCCGATATCAGTAAGTTGTTTCTGGCCTCTGTATTATTTTATTCAAATTTAACTGGAACAGTCTAGTTCCCCTCGTTGCTCGCTAATTGGGAATGGAACATTATCAAATTTTACGATTTTTGTTACTCAAAAGGTCACAAGTTGCATAACCTGACGCAAGCTGCTGACATAAATGGTATAACATCGCTTTCGTCTAGTCTCATCAAAATCGGAAACCGCATACTTACTAGAGGATTGTGAAACAACAATAAAAGACGACTTCCAAAAACTGGAGTGAAATTTAAAGTATGGTTACCCTCGCTAGTGGTACGTGACACGACGCACGTTTGCTGACGATTCAATCCGTAGTTTTTGGGTCAGTCAGTCCACGGAATGAGCAACGAATAAGCCAGGGGAAATTGCAATCGAAACCGATTTCATAGTGATACGTTTATATTGGGGATGATTCATGAAAACTTATTAGGCACAGGAAAACCAGATGAGAAAAAATAAGAAAAATTAACTTTACAAAAGAGAATGGCCTCACATTGTGCCCTTGGATATCCGTTGCCGAATTTGTGTACGCATAATTTGAAAACTCACAACATTTGGTGAATATTGATTGAGTATGGAAGATAACAGTAAAAAGAGCAGTGTGATGAGTTTCGCAATCTTGTATCCATGCTATTTTTTCGTCATAGTTATTTAGCTATCATTTGCTGAGCTGAAGAAAACCGTTATCCACAGTACAGTTTTCCCAAGCAAGTTTTGTACTTTCCCTTGCATTGGAACTTAGTGTGATGATTTGATGATTTGTAAACTTTTAATTACGCTCTGCTATTACTTCATTTTTCACCCGCTACAACGTGAGTTGAAAGTGAAATGCCATGATGACGATGCAAGGATTGTACTGTCGATAAATGTGACACATAGGCGAAATGCTCGATGAGAAACCACTCGGCACATTTTTACGTGATGTCTGCTCGAGTGAATAATCTATTCGTGGGAGGCAACACTAGAGGTTAGTAAAATTGTATAATCATTTGTTTCTTGTTTCTTGAAATCTGAGATTAATTGCTCAGTTATCAGCTGTAATATGATTTTGAAATGTTATTACACAATTTTAAACAAACATTCGGTTTTGGTTCCTGCCCCCACTATCTTTTCAGGGGGTTTGAATGTGCCGTACACAGCAAAAAATAAATTTAATTATTACATCCAAGAGGATAAACAAATGCAGTAAAAGCAACGTAATGTCAGTTCATGCACTGTATTAATGATAATTTTGTCCTTTTTGGCAAGTAATATTACACCATATTTTCGACACGATTGAATTGCATCCACTTTGATGTGATATTACAGTTATTTTTTTTGTTGTGTAACAAAAGGCGCTTGATACGCTATACATCACGTTACATTAGCATTGCGTACTATAATGTTGTCTTAAATTTCATAAAATACTATTGATGGATTGATCAAATATGGATACATAAAGACACTTTTGAAGTAGTCCTCAAAGAAAACCAATAGTGTCGCTTTTGAGTTAAGCTGTATAAATTTTATGTCTTTAGTAACAATGGCTGCAAACATTTAGAGTTTGTATGCTTAATATCAGTTCAGGTGTTCAGACAAACACTGCCACATTCTCAAATGTTAGTAATTTTTTCCATAAAGGTTGATGATCAAGGAAAGTAATTGCCACGTAGAAGCTGGTTGCTTCAAAAGAGTTTTCAACATTGGAATAATCAAACCCATGATGTTCCTCATGGAGTCAGACACAATCAATAATTCGAGAATGCTATCCACAATGCCAGAAAACGTCAACTTGGAACATTGAAGCCTTGGAAGAAACTGGATTTCGCGGAAAGTTCATATCAAAATCGTATGATTTTAAACCCAGTGGAGGGGCTTTTGGAACATTACCGCTACTTCCTGATTTCTTCAAGATTACTCGAGGTTCGACACAAGATGTTTTCCCAAGCTGTTGCGTGGTATTCCTGGATCTCTACCCAGGTGGATCTTTAACACGAAATGACTTCCCTTGCCAACATGTTCTCGCCGTATTCATCTTTAATTCAACTCATTTTGCTTCATGTTTCTGCATGAACATTATTCCGATAAAAAGCACGTTTGTCAGCGAACCAAAAAAACTAGCTGGATTTATTGAAGATCGTGCCTCGCATGTTAACCTTCCAGCAGTCGCGCTGGTGCACTATTGAAACATGATTTTTATCAACAATATCCTTGGATATGTTTAAAGTGTTTATGCAGCACTAGAAAGAGGAAAAGTTGACCAAATTTGATTGCATATATATATCATATACATATTACAAAAATAAAAGTCAAATTTAATTAATTACTTTTTGTATATCACATGAAAATTTGCATGTGAAAATGTGTCACTGTTGTCACCAAATAAAATAGTATGCTGAAATCAATACATTTAAAATATTATACGTATTTTCATTTGATTTACCACTCGTGATGATAAACAAATACATTAGTAGCCTTTTTGACCACTGAGGAGCTTGCATCGCAAAAATTTGGTTCGCAAGCTAAGCGAGTGAATCATTTTGTAATATAATATATTTGGTGAAGGCCCGCATGTTTCATAACATCTTCTTGCGCAATGCTAGACAGGAGGAGGCAGAAAAGACCATCGTTTTGTCGAAGTCCTTTGCAAGTTTCAAACGAGTCCGATAAGGCAACAGGTATCATTTCACACATCACTGGACACCATCCATCGTAGACTTGATCAATCTGGTCAGTTTCCCGGTCCAACAGTTTTCGTCCATAATTTTCCATAGCCCTTGACGGACAATAGTATCGTAAGCGGCCTTGAAATCCTGGATTAGGTAATGAATGTAAACTTGATATTCGCGACACTTTTCAAGGATCTGACCCAAGATTTGGTCTGTTGTTGATGGCCCGTCTACGAAACTGGATTGATAATTACACACAAATTTGCTCGCTAGCGGCGATAGACGACTAAAGATACTTTTATCATTTTGATACTTCCGTTCATTTTCCACAAGAGAAAGTAAAGATTTTTTTTAAATAAAGCGTCTGAACGGTTTGAGAACAGGATAGCAATGTTAGTTAGTCTTGTTACATGGAAAAGGATGTTAATATTTGTTGAAAATTTCACAGTTAATTCCTAAAACTTTGCGAATTTGTATTCAAATCTTTCAGTTTTGATTTTGAGTGCATCCAAAAAGATACGGCTACCTAAACAAAACCATGATCGCAATGCTCTCTGATTTTTGATGTTTTTTTTTTCTTTTCCAGACCGGTTCGCACGTGCTGTCAATGCTACATATATGATGTAGATGCTGACTCAGCGAAGTTCAACGATGTGGTGGTAGATAGCACAAACAATGAAGTGCTAGTTTGGATTGCGAATGAATAACGCATGAGTTTACCAAATTCACTTGCGAAGCGTATATGACGAATTGAACTTCATGTTTTCGCTCTCAATGTAGAATAAGTTGAGAGAGAGTGACTATAATTCGTAATTAGACCGCTAGTGACGAACGCTCCAATATGAGTGAGCTGGTTGGAGCCGCCTTTGGCTCAGTCGCAACAGCCGCTTCCAGTGTTGGTTGGTTCGTGCCTATGCTGGTAGCGGCTATTGCCTACTTTCAGTACGAAGAATTCATGGATCCAGAGGCAAGAGTCATCGATGTACCGTCGGATGCAATGTTAGATAAATATGACTTCATAATAATAGGTGCCGGCTCGGCAGGTTGGTAGTGTTGCGAAATTTGATGTAATGGCGCTGATACATGCTTAGCACTGAACTTGTCCGAATTTTCAGGGGCAGTAATGGCGAATCGACTGACTGAAGTAGAAAACTGGAACGTGTTGGTGTTGGAAGCCGGCGGGGATGAGACCGAGATTTCTGAAGTGCCATTGATGGCTGGATATTTGCAGTTGAGTAAACTCGATTGGAAATACAAAACGGAGCCATCGGGAAAGTACTGCCTTGGTAAGATATTTACATTATCAACAAAAGTAGTTTTTTATAACTTTACTGGACATATATAGGCAGAGCAAGCAAACGTAAACAATGACTTTAAACTCAAATTTCTCGAAAACCAAAAAAACACCTAAGCAATCTAAACCTAGCATCTGATTGCGCAAACTTCCTCTATCGAATGACATTGTTAGTTTGCGTTGATGTGTTTTGATTCTCGATAAATTTACGTTTAAATCCATTGTTTACGTTTGGTTATTCCGCCTATTTCAATTATTGGTCTATATATGTAATCGATTAACTCTGCATATAAGTTCAGTTCATACTGAAGCCATATGTTTACCTGGGTTTTTGATAAGAATTCATATTTTGAAATATTATCGAATGAATATTCCTATATAGTTTATGAGCAAGTTAGAAGATACTGAGAAGTAAGCCCACCGGTGCCTTTAGATTTTTTCGCAAATTTTCTAACACAAACGTCTCTTACCAATGATATGTACTTACTTCTCAGTATCTTCTAACTTTCTCATAAACAATAAAAATCTGAATATAAGTCGCTAACCGCAATTAAAAGTATTCCTATATAGTGAATTGTAAAAACCAATAATTTTAGACATTTTTTTAAGTTAACTACACATTTCCAATATGTATTATCATAATATTTATTTTTGTGTTAGTTTTATTTTGTCCCACCTTAGAGTTCATTTAATGTGCATTATTTACTAATTTATTATTGCTTTATAGTTTTTATCCGACCGAACAATACAGAATTTTACCACAATATTTATCAAAACATTTCTTATGTTTTCGTTTTATATATTTTTTCTGCTACTACTCGCTCATTTAGGAGCTATTTAAGATTTTCTGTTTCTAACCCACTGCTAATTATGTGAAATTTTTACTAAAAAATAATGTAAAATAAATAAATGTATTGAAATATAATAATGTAAAATAGCTTGGTCATACGATTTGCGTTCAGTTGATACGATAATATGTAAATATTAAATGCTAATATTATCAGATCCACAGAACGCAAATCAGAAACCACAGCATTACATGTGAATACATCGTACCTTTTGATGATATCATGCTTAAAATATACAGCATAGTTCGATGCTTGTATGTCCTGAACATTCGTTGTTAAATAGCAAATTTTGTGTTCAATGTTTGTTCTATTTTTTTTTTCATTAGTATCAAATCTAAAATTTCTTAAATAACTAATATGGTATCCCTTTATTGCAGCTATGATAGACGGACGTTGCAATTGGCCTCGTGGTAAAGTAATAGGCGGATCGAGTGTGCTCAATTACATGTTATACCTGCGTGGTAACAAAAAGGACTACGACAACTGGGAAGAGATGGGCAACACCGGCTGGGGATATAAAGATGCATTGTACTACTTTAAGAAATCGGAGGACAACACCAATCCGTATTTGGCGAATACACCGTATCACTCCACGGGTGGTTACCTAACAGTGGGGGAAGCTCCGTATCATACACCGCTGGCAGCTGCCTTCGTGGAGGCAGGTGTTGAAATGGGATACGATAATCGGGACCTGAACGGCGCGAAGGCTACTGGCTTTATGATTGCCCAAGGAACGATACGGCGCGGCGGAAGATGCAGTACTGGTAAAGCTTTTCTGAGACCTGCGAGACTGCGACCAAACTTGCATGTAGCCATGTACTCCCATGTGACCAAAATTATAATTGACCCTGTCACGAAAGTAGCTTTTGGCGTTGAGTTTATCAGAGGTCAAAAAGTCCACGTAGTTAGAGCATCCAAGGAGGTTATTTTGTCGGGAGGTTCTGTGAACTCACCTCAAATATTGATGCTCTCAGGAGTAGGACCAAAAACTGAACTGGCAAAGTATAGAATCCCATTGATCAAAGATCTAGCAGTTGGTGAGAACCTACAGGATCACGTTGCACTTTGTGGCCTCACATTTTTAGTAAATCAACCAGTAACGATTGTGGAACACAGATACCATACTATGTCAACAGTTTTGCAATATGCTGTGCTGGGACAAGGACCTCTGACGATTCTTGGAGGTGTAGAGGGACTTGCTTTTGTCAACACAAAACATGTGAATGCGTCTGATGACTTCCCAGATATTGAGTTTCATTTTGTCTCTGGATCCACCAACTCTGATGGTGGAAATCAACTTCGCAAGGCACATGGCCTTACAGATTCATTTTACAATGCCGTATTTGCACCTCTGAATAATATGGATGCTTGGAGTATTATTCCTATGTTACTTCGCCCGAAAAGCATCGGTCAGATAAAGTTGCGAAGTAGTAACCCGCTGGATTATCCATATATCTATCCAAACTACCTGAATGATGAACTGGATTTAAAGACCCTGATTGAAGGAGCCAAAATAGCCTACGCTGTATCGCGGACACAAACCATGCAAAAGTTCCAATCGACTATGAGTGGCTACAGATATCCGGCCTGCAAGCATATCAAATTGTTCTCAGATCTGTACTGGGAATGCATGATACGGCAATATACGTGTACAATTTACCATCCTGTTGGTACCTGTAAAATGGGACCATACTGGGATAAAACTGCAGTGGTAGATCCGCAGCTTCGTGTGTACGGTGTTCGTGGCCTGCGGGTTATCGACGCCAGTATCATGCCAAAGCTGGTCAGTGCAAATACGAATGCACCAGTGATAATGATCGCCGAAAAGGGTGCCGATATGATCAAGGATTTCTGGATCAAACGAAGCGTAGTAAAAACGTAGTCCATATAATCTGTACTATGCTGTATATATGCATTAGAGTGCTCGTAGTCGTAGAATTTATTTATTTTGACTACTTAACGTACGAAGATAATGTGTCATCGACTAGTTTTAAGATTTGTAAAAAGTACGTTATCCTAAGAGAACTTTTGTGATCTGACAATCGACAATCAACTGGTGAGATGATTGTTATATGATACCTAAACATGAACAATAGAATAATCAGTATCGAAATCCTAGATGATCTTAGGTATTCAGAAATTACGTAGAATTCCATGAAACTTCCTAACGAAAAACTTATGCTTTGAGGTCAAAGAAAATGTAAAATGTAAATACAGATAATGGAAAAAAAAATAACGGCATATTTTATTTCTGTTTGACTACACGAATGAGAAAGACCCTGGTATAAAGTATTTTTGTCACAATAAACGGGCTGCAATATTGTGTTAAATATGTGTTGATCTAAATTGAAGCGATCAAAATTAAAGTAATATAAATGAGTCTTGTCCAACAAATATTATAGGACAGTTACCAAATAGTACTTAATAGCCAAGTAGTTCAAAGTCGCCGAAAGAAAATATTCAAGACGATTCTTTGGTTGCTTGAACATGGAGTTTTTTTTATTGAGCTCAGTTGACTACAGTTCATACGAAAATTAAAGATTTTTTATCGGCTCCTACAAAAAACCAAAACAAATGTAAATGTAGTGGATCAAAAATGTCACGACTTTAACCTTCCGTTACTCGCGCTGTTGTACTTTGTACAATAATTATGAGTTTTCCATTGCCATTTTGTGCTGAGCTACCAATCGATCTGAAACCAACTTGTATTCCTCAAAAAACTTGTTTTGAACTAAACAAGCTAAACTTTGTTTACAGTAAACCTTCGAAAAATTCGGATTATAGGGAAATTGTAAATGGAAATCGTGTAAGCGGTGTTCATACTACATGCAATTTGACTTAATTGGTTACAACATGGAATATCTCGAGATCCTGACCGGATAGAAAGTTACTGTTTTCGGAAAAGTTACATACTTGCATGCATGTGAAATTCTCGCATGTGATATATCACTAGCCTGACCAGATAGAAAGTTGTTCAGAAGGTCAAAGCCTATTGATTGGCGCACAAAATTTCAGAATTTTCTCACTACCTGGCGCTAGTAAACACGTAAAATTCTCGCATATAAAATATCTCGAGATCCTGACCAGAGAGAATGTAAATGTCTTGGCTGAATGGATTTTTGAGACTTTTAGAAATTTTATCTTTAAGAAAAGATTACTCCACATTCAAGCAAGTTATGTTTGATCTTGGCAGTCCATTTTGAACGTATTTTAAAGTAATTTTTTATAGGTGTACTGGCATTTTATATCTGTTACAGTAAACAGACTGATTACCGGAAGGTATTCAAAGTATCGAAAAATGGGATATTTTCACTCAGGGCAGGATCCTTAATTTCTTTATTTTTTTAGCTCAAATTTTATCCACACTTTGGAAGAGTTTTCCTCCTTGATGTGTTTTCATGGGCAAATGATTTGAATGAACAGTTTTTAAGATATGACAAGATGAGTGACAGGTAGTTTTGAGCTTTTTTGGTAGAAAACCACTATTTTAATATTATGTTTAACATGATCTGGACAGGTTTTTCATTGGATGTATGGTATGAAATCATAACAAGCTTATTTATTTACTTGTATTCAGAATTTAATTGTGCTGCATATAGTAGATCCCGAACAGGTAGAAATTTACTGTTTTGAGTCAAGTTGTACAGGAGGTTCAAGGTTATAGGTTTATATACAATAGTTCAGAATTTTCTTACTAAGTAGCGCTACACGTTCAATTATGTACAGGGAGTCAAGACCTGTTGTCTGGTGGACAATATTTTATGTTCAATACTCGAGTTTCTGACCAGCTAGAAAGTTACTGTCTTTGGCAAAGTTGTTCAGGGAGTCAAGGAATTTTCTGGTCGACAGCAAAATATTCTAGCTCGGAGACGAGCCAGCCAACGGCTGAAAGTCTCCTTAATAAAGATATGAAAAAAAAAAAAAATTCTAGAAAAATGTTCCTTTAATCGTTTCCTACAAAAAACTCTTCAACAGCAATATCGTAACATGCTTTAGTCAAGCAGCATACGATCATCATCGGGACAACATACCAAAATTCATAAAGAAGGCGGTACCAAAAAATTAGGACGTGTTAGGATATAAGTATGTTCTAGGATTTTACTCAGGGGACAACAAGAAAGTCAAATATGGTCAATTTTACAGTCCTAGAAAGTTTTGCTATTCTTATAATCGAGCAAGACCAATAATATTTTTAAATTGAATAAAATAACAATAAAATATGATTAAAATCGTCGCATTTAGAGTGTTTTCATTCTTTTGGGTTATTAAAATAATTACTTTATGGAAATCTCAACATACTAGCACATATTATGGTTTATTACAGTGATTTTACATGAATTATAGATTTTTAAGGGGGAACCCAATTTAAAAAAAAATCACCCAAACGAGGGGTAAGACAACGAGATATCGTTTTCAAATGTTGTAAAAAAATGTCATTTTCTACAAAAAACTCTTGGACGGCAATGTCGTAACATGCTTTAGTTAGGCAGTACCAACAAATTAGGACGCGTTAGGATATAAGTTTGTTCAGGACTTTTATTCAGGGTACCACAAGAAAGTCAAATATGGTCAACTTTCTCAGTCCTAGAAAAAAAAGTTCCGATTTGTTGCACAGTGTTATTAGTGCGTATCGGGGTTAAAATCGGGCTGATTTCGTGTTGCCAATAATAGAACAGCTGGTTAACACGGCGATGAAATGGAATGGTATCCGAAAAAAAAAAAAAAAAAAATGCCGACAGTAGTTACATTCACCTGAGAAGTTTGGAGCGTTGTAAACAAGTTTTCAAACAATTTTGGACAATTATGTCGATTGGATAGAGCAGCAAGCAGCATATAAATCTAAATAAACAAACACGACATATGTGTGCGTGACGCTGAGAAAATAGAAGTGCGAACGCTGCTTAGATTGACAAGTATACGTGAATTCCCATAAATAGTTTTAACAACTTAATTTGAATGACGTCCCCAGGAGATTCTTCTAAATTTCTTCCGGAAAAATCTATTCTTTTGAATGCTTTGTTGCGATTTTTCTGGAAGTTTTGTCCGAAAGTTTCTCCAAAAATGTCTTCCAACTTCTTCCTTAGGTTTTGTTTTCGATTTTTGATTTTATTGCTTCCACTAAATTATAATTGACTTCCTTTGATATTTTTTCCCACATCTCCCGAAAGCTTTCTCTGACTTCGCCCATGCTTTTGTATCCCGAAAATTTCATCCAACTTCTTCCGGAAGTTTTACTAACTTCTCCTGAAAAATTATTCCTGGGAGATTTCTTATGCAGACCATAGAAATCGTCGTCTGAGCTCCCCATAATTAAAAATACCATACCCGAACGGTAACTCAAATTTTAGAACTATTTATCAAATGGTTTGGATGATACCCTGAACACGTCGTTAAGCAAAATAACAATACAAAATTTATTAGGACCAGGTAGGGTTGCATCCACTCACTTGCTATAAATCATGATTTTCGGAATTACAAAATCATTAGATGTTATAATAAGATTTTGTATTTGTAAGTTACAAGAAGAGGTTGTGAAGTGTGTGTGTTTGACACATAAAAAAATGGTCAATTCCGCTTTCAGAGAGTCACAATGAACGATTTTAAGATTCGTGAACGTTCACTCAGAGTGAGCGCTCACGGATCATAAAATCGCTGATTGGGCCTCTCTGAAAGCGAAATCGATAGGTTTTATGTATCAAACGCATACTTCACAACCTTTTTTTTTGTAATAAGTACAAAATATCATTGTAACGTCTTATGATTTCATACTCACCTGCAGTGAGGGGTATCTAAACTCGCAGGACAAGAGTATTTTGAAACCTCCTGCTCCCATGGGCTTTTCCTCGGAACTTCTCTCAAAGGCATACAAAACTACTCTTTTTTTGCCTCTATTTTCAATAAATGTTTCCACTTTCAGTTTGAAAACTTATCTTTGACGGAAGCCCGCTATCTAGTTCAGAAAAAAAACATATAACTACAAATGTACTGTCATTTCACTTTTTTGAACATGTTTTGGCCTTTGACGATGCTTTATAAGAGACGCATGGAGAGAATACAAGTAAATCTGGTTGTACGGCCAACTAAGTTATTTTGTTTGCAAGGTTTTACAACCCGCAATTTGGTGTATACTTCAAGTGACTTTTAACTGTCGCAGCAATTAATTTGAGCAACTGTCGTCACGATAAAACGAATATATTTTAACTCTATCGGTAGTGATTTTTTGACAAATTTCATTAAAATACACGGCATTCTTCTGTAAAAATAAACCGAATAAAACGATACAAAATGTTAGTTTCTACCGGTTTCCCAAAGACAATGTCGTCAGAAAAAAGTGGGTTCAATTCTGTCGGCTTCCTCCCGATCAAAGCGTGACGGAATACTCTCGATTATGTAGCCATTATTGATAAATGAACTGTCGTTTAGATGAAAGTCGATTTATTATATTTCAGCTACATTTCAATTACGAATTATTGTACGTGGCATCGGATGGCGGAAAACTATTAACAACTCCGGGTACAGTTTAGGTTTTTGAATTTGTTGCCAGGGAACAGAGAATGGAATTCATGATCACGTCAAAAATTATAATAGGCCTGACTTGATTGAATATGTTTTAACTAGTTGTATGTTGATGGCGAAAACATATTCGAAAGAAGTAAATGAGGCCAGAAAAAAACGTTAAATTTAATAAAATTTGTACGGTGTTTAGTACCCTGGCAAATTTTACTAAGAAAACGGCTGAATAAATGTTCACAAATTAAAATATATTTATCCTGCTATTTGTATCATCAGAACTCATTTCAATTATTGTTCATAGCTATTTTGGTAGCTATTTTACCTCTCAACATACGTTATTAAATAAATGTGTCATTATAATACCAGTAACATTATTAGTGATACAGGTAGTTGTACGTATAACATGGTTTTAAGTCCGGTTTCTTCAACAATTCCCGCATGTAATCAGCTTTAATCATATCAGAAGCTTTCTCCGCTATCATAATGGTTGGTGCATTGGTGTTCCCGGAAGTGATCGTAGGCATAACGCCAGCATCAATCACACGTAAACCAGAGATTCCATGAACATTGAGCCGTGCATCAACTACTGCTAGCGGGTCAGTTTTGGGACCCATCTTCGTCGTTCCTACTGGGTGATAGATTGTTTGCGAATAGTGTCGCACTAGACAATCGAAGAACTTCTCATCGTTCTTATTATAGCAGGTAGTTTCTTTATCCGCATCATAAATGAAAGTTGGACTTAATGTTGCCAGTACAGGAGATTCTGAAATTTTCAAACAGTACTTCAAGCCTTCAATCTAAAATAAGAAAAATGAAAAATATTTGAACCTAATTAAATATATTGTTCTTACCAATGTATCAATATCTCGTTGCACAGCAAAGTAATTGGGATATATAGATATTTTGATGTATGGATTTTTACTAGTCAGTTTGAGGTATCCTCTACTTAATGGTCTCAATAACAGTGGCAAACAAAGAAATGCGTCGTGGTATATCCAGTTCCCGAAGTTTTCAGCATAATATTCATAAGTAAAAGACGAACCATAAGCTGCCCACGTTCCACCATCTGAAACATCCGTTTCTGCTGCCATAAATAATTGTATATCGGGACGTGTGCTATTGGGTGGATTGTATTTCGTATTAATGAAGCCCATTACCTCACATATAGGCATCATCATTAATATTCCGCTATTGTTGAATAAGAAGTTTTCGATTGATGTTTTTCTGATTGATTCAAGCATATTTTCGGAAAGTGGCCCTGTTTTGTTGGGATTAGTAATTAGATACACAAGTCCTCCAGTTCCAACATGATCTTGCAGGTTTTGCCCTACTCCAGGTGAGTCCTGAATAACTTCAATGTCATGTTCTTCCAACTCCTTCCGTGGTCCTACGCCTGATAGCATTAGCAATTGTGGACTATTCAAGGAACCAGCTGACAGAATAACTTCCTTCGTTGCCAACACATATCGTTGTCGGTTTTCTTTATTAAACATAACCCCATAAGCTCGTTTTTCTTCAGGATCAATCAATATTTTTTCAACCATAGTGTTTAATGATATATGCAAGTTTTTGCGCATTCCAACTGGACGAAGATATGCCTTGTTGGTACTGCACCGTAGTCCATCTCTGATTGATCCATGAAGAGGCCCGAAGACAAGCTGCGAGGGACCATTCATTTCATCAGCCCATACTTCACCCATTTGTTTTGCAGCTTCAACAAAAAATGGGTACAATTCAGAACGATTTTTAAACAATTCAACTGTCAGTGGCCCAGTAGTGCCATGCCATGGCTTGTTGGCTATTTTTGGATCACGCACATTCTCCATTTTTATGAAGTATGGTAATACATCCTTCCAGCTCCAACCAATATTTCCAAAGCTTTCCCACTCATCATAATCTTCTGGATTGCCACGAATATACATCATGGCGTTTAGTACTGACGAACCACCGAGTACTTTACCTCGAGGCCACGCACACTGATCATTTTGCATCGCTTGACAAAAGCTCTCGTTTGGCATCGTTTTGAAGCTCCAGTCTAATTTTGACTTTTGCAACACTGGATACACATATGGAATATCGGATATGTATGTTTCATCTGGACCAGCCTCTAACAGCAGTACGTCCCAATCGCAAACTTCCGACAGCCTTGCAGCTAATGTAGCACCAGCGCTTCCTCCTCCGACAATGACAAAGTCGTACACATCGTAGATGAACTCCGGAGGAATGTCTTGGATACGGTTGTGGAAATCAACAATATCTGGACGCTGCAGCCATATCATACCATCGAGAAGTAACAACATCAGAACACTAGCTGGACGCGAGAATGATATCCTCAAAAGAGTAGCTTGCACTTCAAATGGCCCCATCTGTTATTAATTAATCATGAGCTGGACTGAGCGACGCGGCGGTGAAATCGGAACTAGCGGAAGAATTTGCTAAGTTTTGCATTTCAATCATACTCGTCCCTATGTTTACTTGTCATGTGACGGTTTTGGTAAGGCATTTTTTTTCTTTGAATAAAACTGCTGCTGCTTTTGACGTTTGGTTCTGTTCGAAGGTTTAGTAAGTGTAGTCAATTGACTGAAGTTGAAACCATAGTTTGAGGAACTGACCAAGTCCTGATTGAACTATTTTAGTGAAATAAATTAATAGTTTCAACTTTTGAAACTTTTGAAAACAATATCATATGCTTTTGCTATATAATAAAAAAGCCTCATTCGAAAGCATTGATTTTGAGCCATTTGTTTTCTACTGAACAAATAATAACAAATAGCATCATTCTGTTTTACGTGACACATCACTTACATAAGAGATAATCCCATCAAACAATTCTAGCTGCAGACCAGCCTATACAGGCGCAAATTAGCTACATAAGGCATTTTTTGACTTTATAAGCTAATCTGCTCCCAAAATTGTTAGTTGGGATGCTAAGTTTATAAAAAAATTTAAACAGGTGGTTGCTATGGTAAGTTGCACCAGGTCTATACAGATAAATTTTTAGTCGGCATTTTTCACTAGTTCGTAGCATCGTACCAAACGACTAGCATCGTACCAAACGCATAATTGACTTGTTAACTCTAAAATCATGGATTTATTTGAAGTTTTCTTTTCCAAAATGGGCGATTCGGCCGAACTAGTTCTCTACCCTACTTGAAATATGTCAAAAGTAACTTGAACGTAACGGAATGTATACATAATAATATGTGATTTCTGAAAATTTTTCATTGGGCAAACGCACAGTGCACTATACAACCATTTGCTATTTATTATAGAGATGATCATACCAAAGATTTAATGTTTACTAGTTTCACTGCAATCGCGGAGTTTACCAAGCACAACCATGTTTCAGTTCGATTATTCGTAGTTAATTGTATAAATTTCATCAAGAGTAAGATACCCAGCCTTAAGAAAATTCACTTTTTCTCAGATGGATCAGGCAGTCAGTACAAAAATAAGATGACAGCTTTTAATTTGTGTCATTTGAAAAAGGATTTTGGTATAGATGCGGAGTGGAACTTTTTCGCCACATGCCACGGTGAAGGTCCATGTGATGCTTTGGGAGGAGTCTTGAAACGAAATGCTGCTAAAGCAAGTTTGCAGGGGCATCTCATTACAACTGCTTAAGAGCTTTATACATAAGCAATTTCTAAAATCGATTCAAAAATGCACATGGCTTTTTTTCAGACGCAGATCATAAAGCTATGGAAAGAAAACTTAAAACTCGTTATAATCGTGTCAAACTAATTTCCGGAACACAGTCATCAAAATAGTTTTAGGCCAGAAAATGAAAATTATATTATTGTGAAACGATTCTCGTTCTCAGAAGAAGAACATTCTGTGAAACTTTGAAAGTATCTTTAAGCATGTTTTATGTCTACAAATAAAAAAAAATGATTTTTTTTTTTTTTTGAAAAAAAAAAAAAATGTATTTCAGTTCAGCTTCGAACCTGTTCGGATACGGTTGTGTATAAGTTTGTTTCTGTTTTGCGCGTGCGTTCGCTGATTTTGCCAGATTAGCGCTGGCACTCTGCCTCCCGGACGGTTATACGTGTGTGATTGGTGGTTGTCTCGCTTTCCGAGAAGTTTTGGAATCGAAAAAGAAAACGTGATGCATCATGTTTGCAGGCATCAGAAGAGATGTCGCTATCTGCGTTGTTTGTTTTTTCTTCGCTTGTGCTCCCGGTACAGAAATTGGTGGCGTCGCGAGTGATAGTTTTTGATTTCAGTTTGTTTACGCGTTGTATGATTTTGTGAGCGGTCGCTTCGTGTTCGCGTCATGGAGAAATCGACTAAATTCAACCAGAGGATTGATCCCCGTAGGGCGGGTCTATGATCGGAGCTACTACACCAAGCGTGACATAGCTGCTTGCAAGGGATTCAGTTGGACTGATTTGGTGAGATTGTCCCTTTTTTCTACTTTTGTCTATTTAAACTTAATTTCTATGAATGCGTATCGTTTGGAATCATTTGATTCGGATGAGACTCTTAACTTTTTTTTGTTTACATTGTGTTTCAATCGGTATTCTTAAGAACCACAAAATAAGGTTTCAATATTTAAATTGAGCAGCTCGACTAGCCTGGTGGCTGCCACGTTTGCTTACTGAGTAGAAGTCCGTGGGGGATCCACATTGTAATGATTCCCTATTTTCAGCTTTTTTACAGGCTGGAGTTGTTGTTTGAACCATTTAGTTTATCAATTTAATTTATCTGTATAATAATTATTCACAAGCATTCTTCCAGGTCAATTCAAGAATAGTTTGATGATGATAAATCTTCCTAATATTTTCATTACAGTTATGACCCGATCCTGTGAATCTCTCCGCGCATCAGACTGTTATTTTTCAATAATTCCAAATAATTGTAATTTCATACCTTCCTCCTTCAAGATGAATGTTTAAGATACACATACTTTGCTAGCTGACAAAATGGGGTCATTGCTGTATAATTATTCTCTTTTTGCAGCCTTCATTCAGACTGGATCTATTGATTTAAATTATTTGAGTTTTCTTCCAGCTCTTTGATGACGGAACATCATTAGATTTATACTGTAATGATTCACTCTTTTAGCTAGTTTTGTCTGTTGATTTGATTTGTTTGAATTGGTTTTCAGCTCTTTGGTGTTGGCAGTCGCGAGCGATCAATTTTGCTCATGCTCATGCTCTAAGTTTATTTTCAGCATTTCGATGATGGAACGTCTTCAGATTTATATTATAATGGGGCTTATTACGGGTGTCACATCACGGTGAAAAGTTGTCACTTGTCGTCACGGTGAAGTGATTCCCATTTGATTTGTACGGTAATCACGGCTCTTATTCTGAGTATCACTTGCTTATCACCGTGTAGTGACACCCGAAATAAGGCCCAATGATACACCATTTGGTTTTGGCTTCGGGCAAATCCAAGTATAATGCATGATAACACTGATTCATTTAAAACCATGGTCGCATCACTTATCAATGTGAATCCTGATCCAACGAACCCAACTTAAATACTAACAAAATCTCCTTTTCTGTGTCTTTTGTTGGGGTGCAGAGGTAAACACGGCCCACAAACAACAAAGGTCACTCTAATATTCCTTCCCTACTTCAACCTGATGGCAAGGACGTGGCCGGCGCCGTTATTGATCTACTACATATAGAGTCACTGAAACTTGTACAATGAGAATGGACGGCCGCTCCCAGCCCCATTCAGTTGATTCATTGCACAATTTCACTGATTCTGATCAATCACGGAGTACCAATTGATATGTGCAGTCAATCTAAGCTAAGCTAGCTATTGGTTATCGTATATGTACAGTGTTTATAGTACTACATATCTTTCATTATTGACTTTACATCATTTAATATTATTGTAAATTACATTTTATTATAAGTACTTAATTCTTAATGTTAGCTATTATGAGCGGCTCCAGGGAAGCATAGTGCCAGCTTGAAAAGAAATCTGAATCGTTCATTATCTGTTTTGTAAAAATCTTGTGTTTATTGTATCTTGTTACATGGCATTATAACGCATTTTCAATATTACATTACATTTAAATAAGTATTAACCCGGTTACATACATTTCAGGTCATCCAGGTCTTAAATAAGATGGTATCCGTTCCTTTTATCAACAGTTGTGATATTGCATCATAAAGGGTGATACGGTCAAAATTTGGTCAAGGGAAAACGCGTGTAAATCGGTGAAATCGTTTATTTAAAAAATCAAATTAAATTTCTTTTTCAAGTTCAATTAGTATAAAATTCAGGAAAAATATTCAGTTAGGCTTCCGCTTTTCCAAATCCGAATTGCCGGGCCTTACGCTTGACCCCTGCCATCAGATTTTGTACAGCCACCTTGTCCACCTTCTTCGCCGCAGAAAGCCAGTTTGCCTTGAACTGCTGCTCGCCCTTAGCAGTTTTTTTGGTCTTCTTTAGGTTCCGCTTGACAATAGCCCAGTATTTCTCAATTGGGCGGAGCTCTGGCGTGTTGGGAGGGTTCTTGTCCTTGGGAACCACCTGCACGTTGTTGGCGGCGTACCACTCCATGGCCTTTTTACCGTAATGGCAAGATGCCAAATCCGGCCAAAACAGTACGGAACAACCGTGTTTCTTCAGGAAAGGCAGCAGACGTTTATTCAAACACTCTTTCACGTAAATTTCTTGGTTGACAGTCCCGGAAGCTATGAAAATGCTGCTTTTCAAGCCACAGGTACAGATGGCTTGCCAAACCAGATATTTCTTTGCGAACTTTGACAGTTTCATGTGCTTGAAAACATCTGCTACCTTTCCCCTTCCTTTTGCCGTATAAAACTCCTGTCCCGGAAGCTGCTTGTAGTCGGCTTTGACGTAGGTTTCGTCGTCCATTACCACGCAGTCAAACTTCGTCAGCATCGTCGTGTACAGCCTCCGGGATCGCGCTTTGGCCATCGTATTTTGTTTATCATCGCGATTTGAAGTCACTACCTTCTTGTAAGTCGATAGTCCGGCTCGTTTTTTGGCTCGATGCACGGTTGTAGACGATACACCCAGCTTATTTGCGGCATCTCGGAGAGAGAGGTTAGGGTTTCGCTTGAAACTACCGGCAACTCTCTTTGTCGTCTCAGCGGCTTCCGGTTTTCGATTTCCCTCCGATCCAGACTTCCTGGCTGTCGACAAACGTTCCCCAAACACTTTAATTATATTTGTAACGGTTGATTTGGCAACTTTTAGCGATTTTGCCAACATTGCGTGCGAGTAGCTCGGATTTTCGCGATGCGCGAGCAAAATTTTGATACGCTGCTCTTCTTGCTTGGACGGCATTTTGACAACTGAAGAGTGAATTCCAAAATCAAAATAGGAGCAACATTCTACACACACACACCTTCAAAATGAGGGGTGTTCAGGTTTTTTAAATGCAAAATTGAAAGAAATACGTCAAGTTGATATTGACCAAATTTTGACCGCTGATTTTGCTGAAAATATATGAATTATCGCATATTTCTGTTGTTCATTACATACCAGGTGAGGGCTTAATCATGTTTTGTCGTCTAGTGTTTTGGTTTTGAGATGCTAGATAACCTTAGAGGGATCGGTTTTGCTTAATGAGCAGAATATCATGGGTTTAATCCCAAGCTCTCCCACAACATTACACAACACAAA